ACTGGCTGTGGGTATCATTGAAGTTGAACTTGTCAGCAGCCACCGCCCATCTTAAAGGAAACGTTGCAGCATCTGTATACCTATAAGATGTGAACATATTATTTCAACTGAAAACCACAGTAGTCTCATTCCTCCATAAACAGGTGACATTGATATGTGCTGGTCTGCAGGGTCAGCTGAGGTTCTACTAGATATTAATTGTCAAAATAGCCAGAAGATTGTATTTCAGATGTATAAGATTGAACTTGACCTCACAAGAATCGGTACAGTAGAAAATGACAATAAATACACGTTAGAAAGTGTAAGTGACAAGTTATATGTCACCTTAAAAGAATATAGTTGCATAACCTAGTTGAATAACAAAAGAATTGCACTAGTACCTACACATGAAAGTCATTTCAATAAAATTTCAATGCTCCATTATTTGCACCGATACCCAATAGATATAAGAGATTTATTATAAGCAACACAACACACTAATTAAACTTCGACCAAAGAAAGGGTTGTAGTTTCTCGAGTCAGTTTTAATATTACTCCCCTTAATTTCAATGTTCCATTATTTGCACTGATACCCACCCAATAGATATAAGAGATTTATTATAAGCAACACAACACACTGTCTACGTGAACCAACAATTTTTACAATATACAGTTTGAGAAACTTCGACCAAAAAGGGTTGTAGTTTCTCGAGCCAGTTTTATTATTACTCCCCTTAATTAGGATTTTAGAGGAGGAGCTTATACTTACTTCTCAAGCTTCACATAAACGCCTACAGCAGCACGATACAGATCAAAGGTCATCTGTACATTCTCATCCTCTTCAAGAAGATCACAAGCAACAACGTAAAGCTGGATAGCTTCATCAGGGGACTTATCTTTTAAAGCACTTTTAAGAGATAAATAAACACTTCTATCAGAACACATATAACGACAACAAAAAGGTTTAACACGTTATTTACTTGTTCTTTATTTTAAAAAAACATAGGAGGGCTGAGGAATGTAAGTTATTTCCGTACCGAGCACCCTTTGTAAGAGCATCGAGTGCACCCTGAGAACTTCCTGTCAATATACAGCTCGGCTGCACGTTTATAACACTCAACTACTTCATTCCACTCGGGCACTTCCTTGGCCATATCCTGCAAGCACCATGAGCTTCGCTGCAAGCCAAGTCCCACCAAGCATCTCTTGTCCTTTGGATGCCTTTTTGAATGCATCCATTGCTCGATTATACTTTTTGGCAAGCATAAATCCATTTGTTGTTACACAAGACCAGATTTCATTAGAACACTTCAAATAAATTTCTTAGGGCATGCTTGTTTCTCAAATAATTTACTCACATTTAATTCATATTCAAAATCTAACTCAACTTTAACTCAACCCCACTATCCTTGTATAATTCATCCAATCACATCACATCAACTTTATTTCACTATTCATCCAATCACATAATTTCAACTACTAATCATTTATCTCCTACTTTTATATCAAATCAATTTTAATCATTTTATTTTAAATATTATTTTAAAACATTTTTAAAATTCCACTAATAACTAACCATACCACTTTTTTTAAAATTAAGTCTAGTTAAATAAAATAATTCATTTTGAATGAATTTTTTAATAAACAAGCACACCCTTATTAATACCGCCATTGAAGAAGGGAAAAGAAATATATAACCATACCCGCCTGCTCGTACAGAAAAGTGGCGTTCGTCCAATCAGCAGTCCATCTCGTCAAGCTGAGCTTAGTCCTGCAAGATCAAATAATTTATTTTAAATAAATACAAACACTGCTCTCTCTATATATTAGATTACAAAATGTCATCCACATAAAAAAAAATAAAAATAAAAATAAAAAAAATAAAAAATTACAAAGTCGAAAAATTGAAGAAACTTGCAGTTTGTGGTAGGTAACAAAGGATTATTATTGTTCTTTTCCCTTTCCCTTATTGATTTTATTTTACAAAATTTCCCCTCAAATAAAATAGTATAATATCACCCCTTTCCTTGTGGTCTTACAAATTGCCATACATACAAATGACATTGTACTCGACAGCAAAGAATGCTAACGTCCCAGCAAATCTCCATCAAAATTATGCTCATAGGAATAAAAGATAATAATAATATCTGTGACATAATATATGCATGCGACCAATTAATTTAACTGCTTACAGAGAACAGTGTGGCTCGGATTTCAAGTTAGAAGTTGTCTTATTATGCACATTGAGCTAATACAAAAGAGTTTGGTCCAATGATACAGACATATTAGGTCCGATGATCCTGAAATTCTGCTTAAATATATGAAATATGGTTATTAATCCTGAATTCTGCTTAGATATATGAAATATGGTTATCAATGAACAGAAGAGAAAGTGAAAGGAACGGCTCACCTTAAATCAGCTTCACCAACCAATTTCTTCAGCTGGGTAGGTGACTTTGGCGATCCAGATAGTGGAATCACCACTTTCGAAACATTACACTCCATCAGCCAAAAACAATTTGGCATGTTAGCATGCCCAGCAACCTTCACATTGAAATAACCTGATGCACCGGTCGAATTTTCGACCGCGCAATACATCATATTAGGCTGCTATCCAAAAAAACTAACACTAGAATCAAGTCTGGATATGACACCATTACCCTACCAGAAATTCTTGAGTTTGAAAAGAAACTCCTAAAAGAGGATAACTTTTCGAAAATGGATTACGTCTTCTCGCTGATGTCTTTACGAGTTTTCGATCTAAAAACGCACAAGAGAGAACTGTGTATCTAGCGGGTATTCGTAATATGTTGTGGGCTTGGCGACGTCATGGGAAGGACACAACAGTGTCACGGAAATATTACTTTATTTTCACGAAGGACCTCTTTGATGACACTGTCATACTTCCCTGTAAGTAGTTTTCGGTTTTGTTGCCAGTTACTTTCTTTGAATATATGCATGTTGGTTGTACATAACTTGAATTCTATATCGTGCAGCACTTGGGCTGGTCAAGGACACAGCAATAATCCAGATAACAAATTAGGAAGTTTGTTATCTGGATTGTTGTGTCTGAAGTTTGTTATCTGGATTGATGTGTCTTTGACCAGCCCAAGTGCTGGACGACATAGAATTCAAGTTATGTACAGCCATCATGCATATATTCAGAAAGTAACTGGCAACGAAAACCGAAAACTACTTACAGTGATGAAGTATGACAGTGTCATCAAAGAGGTCCTTCGCCAAAATAAAGTAATCTTTCTGTGACAGTGTTGTGTCCTTCCCATGACGTCGCCAAGCCCACAACATTTTACGAATACCCGCTAGATACACAGTTCTCTCTTGTGTCTTTCAGATCGAAAACTCGCAAAGACATCATCTAGAAGTCGTAAGTCCCTCCTCAAAAAGTTATCCTCTTTTAGGAGTTTCTCTTCAAACTCAAGAATTTCTAGTAGGGTAATGGTGTCATGTCGAGATTTGACTCTAGTGTTAGTTTTTTTGGAGGCTATCCTAATATGATGTATTGCGCGGTCGAAAATCTGACGGGTGCATCAAGTTATTTCAATGTGAATGTTACTGACATGCCAAAATGTTTTTGGCTGATGGAGTATAATGTTTCGAAAGTGGTGATTCCACTATCTGGATCGCCAATATCACCTACTCAGCTGAAGAAATTGGTTGGTGGAGCTGATTTAAGGTGAGCCGTTCCTTTCACTTTCTCTTTTCACTTTCTCTTCTGTTCATTGATTACCATATTTCATATATTTAAGCAGAATCTCAGGATCATCGGAAAATGATACGTAATATGTTTGTATCATTGGACCAAACCCTTTTGTATTAGCTCAATGTGCATAATAAGACAACGCCTAACTTGAAATCCGAGCCACACTGTTCTGTAAGCAGTTAAATTAATTGGTCGCATGCATATATTATGTCACAGAGATTATTATTATCTTTTAATCATATGAGCATAATATTGATGGAGATATTATTGGAACGTTAGCATGCTTTGTTGTCGAGTACAATGCCATTTTTACATATGACAATTTGTAAGACCACAAGGAAACGGGTAATGGGTGATATTATACTATTTATTTGAGGGGAAACTTTGTATTTGTCAAACTTTTTCTGGGAGTAAAAATAAGATCAATAATAATCCTTTGCTACCTACCACAAGCTACAAGGTTCATCAATTTTTCGACTTTGTAATTTTTATTTTTTATTTTTTTTATGTGGATGACATTTTGTAATCTAATATATAGAGAGAACCGTGCTTGTGTTTATTTAAAATAATTATTTGATCTTACAAGACTAAGCTCAGCTTGACGAGATGGACTGCTGATTGGACGAACGCCACTTTTCTGATTGGACGAACGCCACTTTTTTATGTGCATCAGTTTTTTCTTGGAGGCTAGCCTAATATGGCGTAATGATGTACTGACTCTAGTGTCATGTCCAGGTTTGTGTTGTAATTTTCTTAAGTTCTTCGACTTCATTTCGAAAAGCACCATCTAGGTACTGAATGGCGTACTCAAGTCGCGGGACTTCTTGTTTATTCCGTAACTGAAAAAAAAAAAAAATACGATAAGTATTTTGAATATCCAAACAAGCTAGGATGTTTTCAAGGATTAGTTTACTTATGAAAAATATTTAAAAATAAATTACATACGGTTTCAAAAAATTTAAAT